AAACGGTAGAATGGGGAGTGATAAAGGTGTAGGAGACTACACCTGCATCACACACAATGGGACAAGCACCGTTGATTATGTTCTCGTCTCATCGTCATTGTTTTATAAGGTGCTAAATTTTTCTATTCATACTCGGGTGGAGTCTGACCATTTGCCTTTGACCTTTATTTTGCCATGCTGCAGCAGGCAGAATGAAAAAGTTCAAATCTCTGATAAAGTCGGTACTCTGAAAAAATGTGTCTGGGTGGAAAACCGTGCAATTGTGAAGATTCCGCCAAACAAATAATGTACACCATTTACGTGAATACCAGGTTGTTCGCAATGAATTCAAAAATATATGCAGGAACAAAAAATGTGAATACTTGGAAAACCAAAGAGCTAACCTTATGTCACCTCAAACAAGTTCTAAGCTGTTTTGGTCAACAATTCGACGCAATAGTACAATCATTAATAATATCCCACCTGCCATACAAACAAACCAATGGCATGACTACTTTGAAAAACTCTTTTCTTGTGCACCTATAAGTAATGAATTAGTCTATCAGAGCAAACTGTTAAGTTACTTAGAGTCTGTGAATGAATATAGTTATGCAAATGAAATTGACTGGGACATATTAATAAATGGTCCAATTACTGAAATAGAAATGATTGAGAGCATCAAACGGCTCAAGAATGATAAATCACCAGGACCTGCCTGGCGAGTATTTTAAATCTTCTGTAAATATACTATTGCCATATCTACACGTCTTGTTTAATAAGATCTTTGATTCTGGCGAAATACCAACTGCCTGGTAAAATGCAATCATTATACCTATATTTAAAAAGGGCGTCGAGGGTTGGTCAAGGGAACTATAGGGCAATTTCACTACTTGATATTTTTGGAAAAATTTTTACGTCAATTCTTAATGTACGTTTAAACTTTTGAGCTGAATAATTCGGAGCACCATGGTGTTCAATTATCCCCTGATTTAATTGAATTATTCTGTCTTCTATTTGCGGATGACGTTGCAATTGTATCAGATTCAGTTGTCGGACTCCAGTGGTTATTAGATAAACTAGAATTGTATTGTGAGCGCTGGAGTATGTCTGTAAACTTGGAGAAGACCAAAATTATTGTTTTCAAGGATGGGGGACATTTATCAAGGAACGAAAAGTGGGTTTATGGAGGGATGGAGGTCCACACCGTATCATACTACAAATATCTTGGAATTATGTTCTCCTGTAGACTACACTGGTCAATGGCAACAAAACTATTGGCACAGCAAGCGAAAAAAACTTTATTTTGTTCATTTAAAGCTCTGAACTGCTTACGCCCTCTATCCTACATAACCTATTTTAAGGTCTTTGATACAATGATATTACCAATACTAACGTAAGGGGCAGAAATCTGGGGTTTTAGAGAGTGTAAATGTCTAGAACGAGTTCATATCTTGCCTGTAGAATGTTTCTTGGTGTTTCAAATAGATCACCAAATAGT